CATCCAAGTCCTTAACTTTACAGCAGTCCCAGTCTCTCTTTGGAAAGTTAAAATTTGCTACAATTTCCTCAGTAGTCTGAGGCTGGCAACCTCGGTGTCAGTTAATTCTGAAATTAGCTTTTGCTCACATATCCACATGATCTTTCTCCACCTTTTGCCAACTTCATAATATAGCTGACTCTGTCCAAGTCATAGCACATCTGCTATTGAGCCCTTTCATTGATGCATTTCTTTAAGCTCTAGGTTTGATATTGTCAACATGTGCTTGACCAGTCTTCCACGTTCTATCCTATTTGATCTTTGAGGTCATCATAAAGTGTTTTCCCTATACTCTGACTATCACCAAGTTCTGTTTGGCTATTGCTTTTGTATATGTAAGCCTTGATTTTCAATTCTGAGGGATAGATTAATCAAGACCAGTTTTGTTAAGAGTGGACCGTGTCTGACCAAATTGAATTTTCTGAAGAGATAACCAGATGTGTAGATGAGCAGTGCATTTGATGGTCTACTTGGACTCCAGCAAGGCTTTAGATAAGGTCCCACGTGGGTGACTGATACTGAAGGCACAAGCTCATGGAATCTAAAGAAATTTGTCCAATTGGATCCACAGTTGGCTATTTTTGTGGCTGGAAGCCTGTGTCCAGTAGGGTTCCACGGGGCTTGGTGTTTGGGTCCTTGCTGTTTGAGATATATATGATTTAGAATTGAATGTTGGTGGGTTGGTCAGTAAGTTTGTGGATGATATGAAAATTGGAGTGGTAAGTAGTGAGAAGGATAGCCTTGGATTACAGGAGGGGTCAGATGGGCTGGTCAGAGGCAAATGGAATTTGACCCAAATAAATTTGAGATGAGGCACTTGGGCAGGACAAACAAGGCAAAGGAATACATGAATGATACAATTCTGGGAACCCAATAGTCAGCGAGCAAATATGTAGAGAAATCTCAGATATACATAAGAATGATAGGAGTGTAATAGGGGATTGGAACTGCCATAATGTTAAGGACTTGGATGGGGAGGAATTTGAGTGTTTAAAACTCTTTTTTTTGTTTTTTGTAGAATTAAAGAGATGGACTAGTCTTTTTTTGAATTTTAACTGTGGTGTAAGTGTTTTTGGACCAATCGAATCACATCTGAACACAGCGCCTTCTGCTTGCTGTTTTAAAACTTTTTTAAAACATAAAATTTAAGGTCTAGGCTATCTCCACAATATACTTAGGGGGTATTGTCTAGCCGTAAAAGTATACATGTCCACTAGTCCCTTGAAGTAGAAGGAAAAATAGACAAAGTTGTTGAGAAGACATATAGGAATACTTGACTTTAATAGCTGAAGCATAAAGTTTAAGAGCAGGGAGGTGATGCTGGAAATGCATAAACAGCTGATTGAGCTAGAGTATTGGGTGCAATTCTGGAATCCACATCATAGGAAAGATGTGATTGCACTGTAGAGGGTTCAGAGATTTACCAGGATGTTGCCTGGACTGGACAGTTTTAGTTCTGGAGAGATTGGACAGATTGGGGTGGTTTTTGTTGAAGCAGAGGAGACGGAGTGGGGGCTGGAAGACCTGATTTCAATGTATAAAATTGAGAGATGTAGACAGGCTAGATAGGAAGGACCTTTTTCCACTTGATAGATGGATTAATGACCAGGGGACATATTTTAAGATGAGGGGCAGGAGGTTCATAGGAGCTGTGAGGAAGATTTTTTTTTCCCATTTAGAGGCTAGTGCGAATGTGGAACTCATTGCCAGTAAGGATGGTAGAGGCAGAAATCCTCCTAACGTTTATGAAGTATTTAGATGTACACTTGCAATGTCAAGGCTTTCAAGTTATTAGTATGGCTCACCCATAGGGTGGTATTTTTGCAATCTTTCCAGCCTTACAACCATCTAAGGTATTTGACTTTCCCTAATTTCTGTGGTACCTATCCATTTAACTTTTTGCTTCGCACTATTCCTGGCCTGAAACAGTCCTCCTTAGGTGCAATAGGAATTTACTTGTACTTCTTTCAACATCTAGTACTGTACCCATTTTACATAATGTGATCTCTGCCAAACATTGGTTGATATCTTGTAGAGCATCACTGTTTAGCCTTCAAAGTTGGCCCCAAACTCCAATTGTCCGTCTCTTTAATTCTTTGGCTCGCTCCATCCTTAGCCTTCTACATGTGCCAATAAAATTTCAGTGTGAGCTTAAACAGCATTTTGTTGTCCAACTGGGTATGTTACTGCCTTCTAGACTGTCAACCATGTCAGGCCATAACCACCGCCACCTTTCTTTTGTAGATGGTAGCTGTTGATTCTATTGTTTTGATTTTATACCTCCTCTAGAGTCATCTTTTGTTTCTTTTACTTGTCCCAATGCCATCTCCGTTTTACTCCATTATTCCTTTCGTTATTGAATGTCTCCTGTCTTCCACTTTATCAGAGACTTTTTCATTTTTCTTCTCCTCCGCATAATTTTTCCTACCTCTGTTTTAATGTCCCTGACGGCTAAGTTTGATAACTTGGTCAACTAGGGATTGAACTTTGGGAGCCTTATGGTTCCGTTTCATACTTGTCTTTTCTACCATGTTATAGAATGGTGGGGCTGAGATTTTTAATTTCACTGTGGCTTCAGTAATGGTTGATATGGTGCCATTGTTTGGAATCAATAATGACTTTTTGTATAAATAACTGGCTAAACTGCAGCACAGGATTTCCTGAAAATGTCTGGACCTTGAGCTTCTTGTAATCTCATTTTATTTTCCTCAAAAAAAATTCTGCTATGTCAGCAATCAACGGTAGACACTCAAACAGTATAGTGAAGTTAGAGATATAAAAAAAATAAATTGCTACCTACACTGCAATTTTTGTTGTAGTGTCTGATATCTTCATTTTGTTCACAGGCTGGAAAATTGTAGGTTGGTACCTGTTTAAACAAAGAATCATGGCACTGAATGTCAGTGATATGTTTCTGTTTTTTCTGTGCTATTCTAAAAACCATTTGCTACTCTATAATTTATAATCTGAACTTCTCAGTAGGAGAAGCTTCAAACTGCAATAACTGGAGAATTCTGAAATTCCTCCTGCTGATAAACATTGCAATGGACTCAAATATCTGACTGATGTACATGAGCTGCAGTCACTATTTTACATCTGCATAAACAGTATTAACTCATTTTTAGCATACCGCCTTCTGCCAGCTGATTCATGGTTTTAGCAGAAGGAGCTTTTAAAATGAGCTGTTGGTGAGGGTGTCATGTTATGGGCAGGGTGCCAGCTCACTTTAACCAACAATGATGACGGTGAAATAAATAAAATGCTGGATAGACTTTATTCTTTCACCATCCATCGTTTGTACCTTGAGTGTTCATAATATTATCGCTGGTCAGCAATTCAATTTAAAAAAAAACTTCTGGTGGTCCGATTTTCCGTTCTGCAACTATAAAAAGTCATTTACAAAAGGGCCTAATCTTGGTGTAAGCCCAGTCCAAAAGGAAAATGAATGTACTTTTCAGGCTCCTTTTGCAAGCTCACTGTTTGGTGTAGTTCATCCCTTCAAGAGCTTGCTCAAATTTATTTACTTTCATGCAATGTGGGTGCTATTGTCTGGGCTATCACTTAGTCACTGTTGAGAAGGTGGTGGTGAGCTGCTGCCTTGAACTGCTGCAGTCTGTTTGATGTAGACCCACAGTGCCCTTAGAGAAGGAATTCCAGGATTCTGACCTGGTGATGGTGAAGGAATGGTGATCTATTTCCAAGTCAGGGTGGTGAGTAGCTTGCAGGGCGTCTTGTACGTAGGGGTGTTCCCATGTATCTGCTACCCTTGTCCTTCGAGATGGAAGTGGTTGTGGGTTTAAAAGGGGCTGTCTAAGGATCTTTGTTGAATTTGTGCAATGCATGTTATAGATGTACTGCTGCTGACTGTATTGTCAGTGGTGGAGGGAATAAATGTTTATGGATATGTTTAGTCCAGTCAATTTTGGTACAGTAACCCCCAGGATGTTGTCAGTGGGGGATTCATTAATAATGATTCCATTGAAAATGAAGGGGTAACTGTTAGATTTTCTCTTGTTGGATATGGTCATTACCTGGCACTTGTGTAGTATGAATGTTACTTGTCACTTTTCAGGCTAAACCTGGCTATTAACCAGGTCTTGTTGCATTTGTCGTGGTCTGCTTCAATATCTGAGAACTTGTGAATGGTGCTGAACATTATGCAAACATCAGCAGACGTTGCCATTTCTGACCTTTCTGATGATGAGGTCCTGCTACAAATTGAGCTGGGGTTCAGACATCATGAGCCAATACTTCTGCAGTGGAAGGTCCCAGGCTAAGGCTTTTCCTAAAAAAAAAAAAAACAGGAGCCTGATGAAACCCCACCATCACTCTATGGTTGTTCTAAAGTGTTTTGAGAAGCTCTCCAGTTAATGGAAGGTATCTTGATACTGAATTTGAGCAAGAGCTTCTAAGAAATTGTTTAAATGTAATTCATGTATTTTGAGAAAAGTACAGGAGAGTGAGAAGTGGTTGTGCACAATTGGATACTTCATTACATTAACTTTCAAGTGGCCGACAAGTTTGCTGATTAAAAAGAGTGATCAGTTGATCACTCCAAGCATTTCACTAACTGGACTATTTTTATAGTGGAAGTTGTGAATGCCATATACTCTGAATTTGAACTGGATATTGCTTAGACCATTGTTAGAACAAAAGGAACAAGCCCCATGTGTTTCGGGGATCTCCACTCCAGATAGAAAGGTGACCCATTTGTTAATGTCAGATTGAGATCCTCTACTACGATTGAAACTTGTTTCCACCAATATTTGCCCTTTGTATAAACAGCTGTATGTTAATTTATGTTTTAACAATGTTTGAGAATAGAACAAAAAAAAAGCATCTCAAGAAAGCATGGCTATTTGAAAATTCTGAAATATTTTATTTTTAGCAATAAGTATCCTCTTACTAAAGGTATTTGTTTTGGTTGACTATCTGATACTAATATTTTCTTCTTACATCAGGGTTCATGGGAAGTTGGTAGCTTTAAAGGTCATCAGGCTACAAGAAGAGGAAGGAACCCCATTCACAGCAATCCGAGAAGGTAACATTTTACTATAGTATACACCTATTTTCCTGGAGATAAAAGAACGTAAAATGCCACACGTGATACGTGCTATCGTGCAGTTTTTGTGTCTGCGTTCCTTTGGGGCCTTACCCTTTTCTATCAGTGTATCTGGCTGCAAATTTACAATTAAACCTTGGAGGTTTTGACCAACTCTGATTCTGGCCTGTTAGACTCCCTTGATTTTAATTACAACATCACTGGCAGCCATGCTGTTAGCTGGCTTGGCCCTAAACCTTGGAATTACCTTCCCAAACCACATTGTCTTTATCACACTCTTCTTTTTAAGATGACCCTTAAAACTCACCTCTTATGACATCTTTGTGCATCTTTCCAAGTGTTTCCTCTTGATACCAAGTTTCAAAAGATGCAAAAAAATGTTTTTATTAATTTGTGCTTGAAGTACGTTGAAACATTCAACTCTGTTAAATACCCTTTATATGTGTAGTATTGTACAAAGGCAGTCTTAACATCAGAATCTTGTGTTGTGCAGTTCTGTTCCTAATTCTGTCACTTGATTACTGATTCAACCATGGTTTGGGTAAATATGCATTAGGATGTAATGTTTTGGCGTGATCAATGAAGTTTTGTTGCAAGTAATGCCATAGGACTAGAAAGTAGGGGTAGGGAGTGTGGTGTCATGGTGCAATTTATTTTGAAGCACCATTTAAAGTATTGAGCTTGCATAAATGATTCCCAAATTGCACCATTTCAACGTATTCCATTTATAGTATCATTAATGATTCATGATGATTACTTATGTTTATTGCAAATAGCTATGATAACTAAAGATAAATTTAAGTTAGCACAACTTACAGTTTAATTCTATTTAGAATTTAAATTTTATGTTGAACAAATATTTTGCTCTGTGATCATTCTGATAAATATAGACACTCCTACTTTAAGTCGATAAAATGTGGAGCTGGAGGAGCACGAAGTCCTGATGAAGAGTCCAGATCCGAAACGTCAACTTTCCTGCTCCTCAAATGCTGCCTGACCTGTACTCCTCCAGCTCCACATTTTATCGACTCTAACTTCCAGCATCTACAGTCTTTACTATCTGCCACTCATACTTTAAGTTCTGTCACCTGACTTTCATACCTGAGACCTCTGGACTAAAATGTGTTTTTTAAAACAAAGATAAATGTTGATATAAAGTTGATGCCAGCATTGCTTGCCTATGACTGAAGCAAGTCCAGGAGGTCATGTAGACCACAGTAAATCGTCTGAATTGAAATGTCCCCTTTTTCTAAAACTTTGAAACCAGGCAACCAAGTCAGCATCATAAAATTTGCATCTGCTCTTTTAAACTAATTTTCACGTTTCATGAATTGTCCGAGTGTGAATATCCAGCTTGGAGAGGCAACAGTGCCAGACTCGGGAATCCACAAATGAACTCTCTTTCAACAGCTACTCTTGTGCATTGAGAGAAGTGAAATGAAATTATTTTGCAATAACAGGAGCTGGATCTCACTCTCATTCTTTATTCCTCTGCACATCTTAGACTGCAACTGTTGAAAAAGCAAATTAGGGAAACGACCAGTCACTCACTGTGCTTTGTGAGCCCACAACTTGAAGTTGAGTCGGAAGATCTCACACCATTGTTCACTTTCTGTTGGATGAATTGTCAAATTAAATCTGCACTGTTGCCTACCATATGGTATGGTCATGCCAGGTCACTAGGCTGCAGGGAGCTGTTGCTCATGGAGATGTTTGCTGCCAGCATCCTGTTGAAGTGCTGGAAACTGCATGACATTCGACAAATGAGGTGGAGAGAAACCACCTCTGGTCTAACTAGAAAAGTCTTTCGTGGCTAACAAGATATTGTTTGTTGCATGTTGGCAGCCAATTACAGGTGTTTCAACCAGGTGAAGAGTGGTCATATTTTAAAATTTTTGTTTTTTTATATTTTAACTCATTCCATTGTAACACAGGTTACGGTGGATATGATGGACATGATTATAAAGAAAACCGAAAGAGCTGCAGCAGATGTTGTAAATCAGAAACAAAAACAAAATGCTAGAAAAGTTCAGCAGGTCTGGCAGCATCTGTGCAGAGAAATCAGAGTTAATGTTTCAGGTCGAGTGACACTTCCTCAGAACTGGTTACAAAGAATGTGAGGAAGACCAGAGATTAGGTTTTGCTCCACCAAGGTATTAAATTGTTTTGTCCACAAATCAATGACATCATTTTTTTTGTGGGCAGTGCTAATAGTAGTGTTCAGTTTTAACCCTTTCAGACCCATGTACAACAAAATATTTTTTGCCATCCACCTTTTTAGAAACCGCTGTACAACCTTTGTTTCGGAGCAGATTTTTAGCCATTGCTTTCCTAATCACTGTTATAATGCGCCATTATCCATTTATCACTGTTTTTCCATTTTCACTTTTTTTTTGTTTCTAAAGGCCTTTGGGATTTTCCTGTATTGAAGTTACTAAATGAATGCAAGTGATTGCTAAGAGTACTTGACTTCTCAAATTACAACTTGGGTGGGTGTATACGGATTCATTTTCCCATAGACATGTGTATATCTTAGTAGCATGTTATTTTAGCTGCAGGTCATCAGGGATTTGTAGAGGGCTTTTGGTTAAAGGCAAAAATGTGGTCAAAGATCCTGTTTTAAAGTTGATTGTGGCCTGCAGCACTGTCTTGTGGCTGTATCCATAATGTGTATATCTGTCCACATAATCCATTTATTTCTTCCTCATCTGACCAACTTTGGCTTGTTGTCAGTTCCTTACTTGTACTTTTTCAAAATGTTCAAATCTAGTGTTAACTTCTGCTACTCACGGGACTATTTTATTTCCATAAACAAGGGTTAAGAGGCATTTAACTATTTGTGGGTGTCATTTCATACACAGTTTTGTACTATTGGACTAAATTCTGTGAAGGTACAAAATAATTATTTACCAATGCTTTAAAGCTAAAAAGAATGTTCTTTCTTTCACTGAAGGAACCTGTAGCAGCAGCGATTTTGAAAATTGCATTCTTTTTACTTTGTAGTTTGGTTGTAATGAGCTCAGTCATATAGTTGAGCAATTGCAGGTTTAGTTATTGCATGTTGTGAAAATCTTGTTTCACCTTACTTCATTGACATATGTGGTTATGAACATGTGAAGTTGTTTTATTATTAGTCAAATAGCTTTGTTTTTTCAGTTAGCTGGTATGACTAGAAAAGGGCTATCATAATATAATCAGTTAATATCCATTATATCTCAATGACTTAAGCACATGTAGAATATTTATATGTTTTATTAATTCTTTGGAAGTGCGTGGATGTTTCTGGAAAGCATCTGTACCGTCTTCATTGCTGGAAATATCATTGTTCTGAAAACTAAGTTGTTTTTTTTTAAATTTTGTTGGCTAAGTTCCAATCTGCATCTTTAGAAAATGAACACATGTTTTATACACTTCACTGTCATTTTGACTTTTTTTACTGCTTGTATTATATTTTCTAGGTACCCCTGTCATTACATATATCTGCACTCGCTTCTTGAGTAGGAATTCCAGAATTCCACTAGTTTCGGAATGAAAGCATGTCACCCTGTGGATCTTCTATATTTGGGAGACCCTCCTTACTAAATACCTGCACCTCAATTAATGGATACTCTCAATGTTTTTTAAGCATTGTATTTCTTGTGTTTTGGGGAGTGGGAGTTGGGCTGGAGCATGCGTAGTGCTTCTCAAAATCGCTTGTTTTTCTGTCTTAGAATTGCTTCACAAATAAGTCTCAATATAATCAAACCTGTTGGTATTTGTGACTATTTGGGTTGACATAGCTAATCCCTACAGCCATTATAAAATTGTAATTGTATACATAAAAGGTATTTCACATCTGTAGCAATCCATTAAAATTGCAAGGTAATTAGTATACATGGCTATTTCAGTAGTGCAGGAAAATTGGTGATGCTTATTTTGGCAATTTTCTATAAATTTGACCCTGAATTGTTTTCTGTTTGACGTAATTGCCCTTTATGCTGTTGAATTCTCTTCCATGGTGGTTGCATTTCAGACGAGAATTGGGCAGTTTTCCATTCCATTTCATGGTCTATAATGATTGACAGCACTTTGCTGTGAAGGTCACTTTCCCTGTTATTTGCATTACCAGGTTTCTGCACATTAATAGTGATGTGAAAGGTGCGAGTATTAGACGAGGACAAAGTTGGAGGAGTGCAGAAATTTGGGGTTTGTGGAGCTGTGAGAAGTTACAGATAGGGAAGGAATGAAGTGATAGAGAAGTTTAAAAAATTAAAAGTTTTTAAGTTGTGGGTTTTGCAGATTCCAGTGTATGGGAGTGAGGACAGAGGGAGAGCAAGATTTTATTAGCAGATATAATAGATACTATAGAGTTTGAGCTGAAGTTTACAAATGAGGGGATTAATAAATTCAGGAATTAGTAAAGGCATACTAAGGGTTTCTGCAACAGTTAGGGTTAGGTCCAGAAAGTGCGAAAAATGCCACCTTTCTGGGGGTGACCAATTCCTGTAAAAGTTTTAATTTTTTTGTTGGAGATGTTGATGTTCAGCATATTATCTGTCAACACCCTCCAAAACAGTGAGCTGTCTGATAAGATTGTGGTGGAGTAGGGTTTCTGAGCCTGGTTCCTGTCAGCTTTTCTTTTTGATTTTTCTTTACTTTTCCCTCTCTTTTCTTGTTCGTTCTTTTTCTGTCTGCTATCTTTTATTACTTACCTCTTGATGAAGAGCTTGGTCGCAGCAACGGCATTGCTGGGCCCATTCAATGCCACCAGAATGGCTTAATGGAAGCGATATTGGAGGTGAGTTGGGTTCCTGGCAGTACCTGAGTCTAAAACAGATTAATGGAGGCAGCGGTGGATGTGAGTTTGGGCCAGTACGATACCCAGCTGCATCAGTGAGATTGGGCCCAAATTGGACTTGTGGCCCAGTCAAATTTTGTCTGGAGCGGTACCCTGTGGCATCTACATTGGCGAGGTCTAGTGAGGCCAGAGCGGTGACGGTGTCGGGAGGCGAGGTGGTACCAAACAGTGGTGACTTTTGTCCCAGCGATGGCGTGGTGAACGGGACGTGTGCCTGGTCACCAGGCCCGTGGCCCACGATGGAGCACTTAACAAGAACGACAGTAAATTTGGACAGTTTTTTCTTTATTTCTCTTTTCTGACTCTATATTCTATGTTATGTTTATTTTTGTTTTTAAAATGGCACCAGAGTGGTGGTGCTACACAACACTTTTCACAGTATTGTGTAACAAGTTACACACGAAATAAATCAAATGCGCTGTATCCCTCTAAAGAATTGCTGCTGTTGCCATTCCACAGCATCAGAAGTACAATGTTCCTTTTACATGAAAAACTGCCGAGGCACACTTTATATTATTACAATGCCAGTCTTTTGGCATTGTTGCCAACTTGCACAGGGATACTTGGGAACACGTTCTGACCGCGGAACTTACACTATTATAGAGTTTTTTTTGTTGAGTTTAGACCTGTATTAGTTATCTGAATAGATAGTCATAGAGTTATACAGTGTGGAAACAGACCCTTCGGTCTAACCCGTCCATACTGACCAGAAATCCTAAATTAACCTAGTCCCATTTGCCAGCATTTAGTCCATATCCCTCTAAACCATTCCTGTTCATATACAGCAATCAGATGTTTTTAAATATTGTAATTGTACCAGCCTCCTCCACTTCCTCTGACAGCTCATTCCATGCATGCACCACCCTCTGTGGAAAAAGTTACCCCTCAGGTCCTCTCTTAAATCTTTCCCCTCTCATCTGAAACCAGTGCCCTCTAGTTTTGGACTCCCCTACCCTACCTTGGGGTAAAGATCTTGGCTATTCACAACCGTCATGATTTTATAAACCTAATTTGAATTGTAATGTTGGAAATGAATTCTAACAAAAGATCTAAACTTCTTTCAACGTTACAGCCAGAGAACAATAAATGGAAATTTTAAACTACCAAAAACACTTCTGTTTAGCATTGATATAGGATGCTTAGATTAAAGCATTTTTCACAATTTCAATGTCCGTACAAGTTGTTTGTTGAATGGTAGCACTCGAGCCTGAATCACAAGGCAGCTCGTTTAAAGTTTATACTTTGGTTTGAGGACTGTTTTTTACTTGTAGCTGGGGAACCACTTATTGCTTGATATCTAGGTTAACAATCCATTCAAAAACTTCAGATAACAGAGTTTTAATCGTTGAGATATAGGAATGGATCTCACAGGGCTGAGTTTCATTCGGATGGCTTTTGAATAATGATCTGACTTGGATGGTCGCAATTACATTGAGCTATTCCTCATGTTCCCTCTTCTCTAGCCCATTGACAAGTAGTTGAGAGTTGTCTAGATTTTGTGAAGGGTTGAAACCTAGAACTTTACCACTTGGTCCACTTACCATATTACAGTTGATGTTTGTTTACGGTGCGTCAGCTGGTGCTCTAAGAGAAAGGGCTATTGTTAATTTGTAGTGTGGAGCCGTGTTTCAGCTGGGAAGTGAAATGAGTGGGTAGTTTTGAGGTCCTGTCAGTGGTACTGCTGCATTAGCTGTTGCCAGCTTTCTTTTGGGGAGGATATATTAACAGGTTTGATATATGTGCGAGCCCAGGAAGCCATGTGAACTGTCTTCATCTCAAAATCCCAGAAATAATCTTCATTTCTGTCAGGAGGTGGATACCCACCATGTTGTGAGGCAGTTCCTCAATCAATCTTTAAAACAGTACTCAGCTGTTGGGTGGACCAGATGGAGCAGTGTGGGATCTGCTGTTTCCAGAGAATGTATTCTGTGTTGTGTAGTTCTTTAGCTTGGAGAGCTAATTATCAACATATGTGACGAGCTGTGACTCTGTGAAGGAAGTTGCGGGTATATACGTTTGAGAGAGCTGATGTGTAGATGGATCCCTGTGAGAGCCCACTGTTGATTTATGTGTAGGCAGCTGATTTGATCTCTAGGATGTATGTAACTGTTGATTGCTGATTAATGGAGGTAATTATTTGTAGGGTATTCACTCCAATGATTTTGGAGAGTTTCAGCAGCACACCTGTACACCACAGACAAAGGATAAGTCAACAAAGGCTGCAAATAAGAGATAACAAGGTGTAGAGCTGGATGAACACAGCAGGCCGAGCAGGAAGGCTGACGTTTCGGGCCTAGACCCTTCATCAGAAAATGCTTGTTTAGTAGAATGGAACTTGAATTTGCAGAAAAAGATGCATATTGCTGAAAAAGATACTTTTCATTTTTAACTCATTAAGACAATTCTCAGGACTCATAATTCAAGGAAATCTGAAATGTATACAGCATGAAAGTAGAATGTTGGTGCCTTGATGTACAACCCTATTGCAGATGGACTCTGGATGTAGCATTGCCATTGAGAATGGCCCCATTACTGCTAATTGACAGTTAGTTGCAAAGCTTCGTGTAAATTTTAAATCAAGCAGCCTGACTCTAGTCGCAACATTACCTTGAGATATGAACCAGCGAATGGTGGTCACCCATTTTATTTTGCGTTTTGAAACAGGTACAGTGCACATCTGCATGGCCTTCCATGCACTCTCCTCTCAAGCCATTTAAATATTAAGTCATTGAATCAGTGTTCTTGCAAATTGTCCTGATGAAGAGCTTCAGCAAAAAGATTTTATTTCAGCAAAGCTGAACAAAGACTGTTTCTGATGCCAGGCCTTACCAGAACACACTGTCTCTGTGAGGCCTTTTCAGGACCTTCTCAAGGTAGTTGCCGCCTGTGCAAAAACCTGTTTGTTGAAAGGAATTGCTACTTTTGGGGTGGAACTTAATCTTTTTAGTCTGAGATCGTTAATATGTTATCAAGAGCAAAGTAATGTCATCAGGTAGTTTCCCTGAGTTTTCACTCATTACTGTCTTGGAATGCTGTCTGTGCTGTGGATGTTGGCAGTCAGATTTGTTAACCGTTGTCTTCCTTGATTTCTGATATGTTCCGGAATTCAGAATTAATCCCATTTGAATGTTGCTGTTTTGACTGTTGGTTTGAGCACATGACCTCAGCTGCCACTTCAGTGTTGCGCCCTCAGGGCTATTCTTTTCAGGTGAAAATAACCCCTTGTTACCACTAGATCAAGGGATAGCCAGGAAGCTGCAGTGACCTAAGATAACAAGGTGTAGAGCTGGATGAACACAGTAGGCCAAGCAGCATCACAGGAGCAGGAAGGCTGATGTTTTGGGCCTAGACCCTTAATCAGAAATGGGGGAGAGGAAGGGGGTTCTGAAATAAATAGGGAGAGAGGGGGAGGCGGATAGA